CCTTTGGTCACCGTTCAATACCCTGCCTCTATCATAGATCTATTCATCGCGCCAGAAGGGGGCGTTATTGCTTACTTTGAGAAACGCTGAGCTAAAATAAAAGTCAATGTGTTAGAAATATTCAAGTTGTGACCTTCAATAAAAAATATATAAAATGTCAACATTTTATATATATTCCGTCGAATTTTTATATATAGAATTTGTCTGCCGTCGCCCCTCTATATTTCCTTAACGCCCCCCAATTCTCTTTGAGCCTTCTACTGCCCCCCTGAAAGCCTCCAGCGCCCACAAGGGGGCGTTATCGCCCACTTTGAGAAACGCTGGTATAGAGAATTGAAAGAAGTATTACAAATCCCATAACTAATTTCCATTCGTACACAATTTCCATTTCTAAAACAACCATTTTAACCTGCTTATGTTTTCGATAGAAAATGTGCATTAAATTATTTATCTGATTAATAATTATCACAATAATCACTTATATCGAAAAACCTTTAGAAGATAACACGACTTCTATTCACATTTCCAGGATGTAAACAATAACTTTGTTTACAATGATTATATCTACAGTTCTACTTAAATTTATATATATTTGCTTAAAGATCACACACACATAATATCAATTATATTTAATGAAAATAAATGACGTTTGCATAGATTACTATTACAAGAAAAGTGCTTATATTGTCAAAGATGAAAAGGGTTGAAGTCCAGTTGTTTCACAATATTTTCGATTAGATAACGTCTCCGATGTTTAAAATTATACAATACAAAATCAATAAAGGATATCAATCACAATAGCGATTTGAACTGCTTGATAAAATCTCAGATAAATATTATCTTTAAAACAAGAAAATATATTCCATAAAATGTTCATAAACAAATATTTAAGTTAAGTTTAATTTAAAAAAAATTATGAAATTATCAGAGCTTTTTATAGCCTATATTTCAAATTACAGACTGATATATTAATTCAGTACACGTATTCATACACGTGCTGTTGATCATCAACAATATTTTGTAAATTCAAATTTTACATCAAATTACATTTTCATACACGTGCTGTTGATCATCAACAGCACGTGTATGAAAATGTAATTTGATGTAAAATTTGAATTTACAAAATACTTGTGATTATTTATATGAAGGAAACATTCACAATTGTACTTTGTACTCATTTTATCGTTTATGAATGATAGATATATAAACTTCCGGGGAGATCGGGAACCGTGGACTCTCCCTTTTCGGCTACAGGTCGTTAAACCTGTTCACTTGTCAAGATGGCTAAATTTCGAATGCGGTCCCGAAGGGTCGGGATACTTTTTGTTAGGTCGAGTGGAGGAGGTGAGAGGTGTCGTCGACGAGGCGTAGGCGATATACGAGTAAAAGGACACCATTTAACAATAAAACAACGATTTATTAGATTAACGAAAAGAAAAAAATTAAAGAATACAAAATCTAACATCGCGGGAAGTGAATTTAGTTCACTACCTCCTAACTCGCGGAGAGAAAGTTTACATTAATTGTTCCGTACCTCTAGTTTACTTCCACGTAGGTGGGAAAAATTTAGTCCTTTTTGCCGGTGATCGATGCACACAGTTAAAATTTTCCGCGACTTAACCCTTTCTGACGATTGTAGATGTGAGACTCCCCCGAGGAGGGGGAAAGAAGTCGCTTTTATAGCTTTGGGTAGGGAAAATTAGTCAGGTGATCTTCTATTGTGTGAGATAGAGTTGGTCCTGTAGGTGTGGAGGTTAAAGTTGTTCCCGGGACCAAAACAAATTGACGAACTCTGACTTCAACTATAAGCTTTTTGTCTTGCAGCAGAGGAATGTCATTGTTCGAGGGTTGATTGTTTATATTAACGATGAAAGTTATAACTTGCGATCGATATTTGATTATTTTTTTCTGACAATGTTATTTTAACGAGGAGGCGACAAATTTAATTCAAATACGTCGAAAATTTAGGGGGAAAATAAACAATTTGGGCTTTTTCTGCGGTCGGATCTCACAAATATAATATTCCTAATAAAAAAATTAGTTATGACGTTTTCAGATAGAGAAATCATTATTCTAAAGTTCATGTTTTAAATAAATTTATAAGCAAAGCTTCGAAGTTATCAGATTTCTTTTGAAAATGGCTTGTTTTTTATTTAACCCACTTAATTAAACTGTTGCGTTGTTGATGATGTTTTAAATTCTGGACTGCTGTAATGAAGTTTAAGAAATTAAATTTTCAATTAGTTATGTATTTAAATACCTTTAATTTTTTCACACGGATCGCAACTGAACACAGTCGGTTTTCAGTTGACTAAATACATTTTTAACTTATGGACTGGCAGGTTTGCCTGCTGAGTACCGACATTCTTCACAGCTTCCAGTACAATAAGTACTACAGTAATATACGATAATAACATGCAAATTAGATGGTACGCAAGGCTTTGAAAAATAGGAACACGTTTCTCACTAAAATTGGCAATTTATGTTTCAGCTGAAATGTCTTATTTGCATCTTATGTGCACGCTGCTTCCATGTTTACTGAAAGGTTAGGGCCACTGTTGTTATTGTTTTATTGGACAAATAGATGTCATGCAGTTAAACTGTTTCTTCTAATATCGAAATACGTATCATCAAGGAAGAAAATGGTTAAATAAAACGTGATGTATATACAACAAGGTTTATATCAATATTTATGCAATTCATGTTATCGTTTAAGTTGTTTTCGATACAACTGATAATCGCGATAATTATTCTCGAGATAAATAATTTAAAGCTGATTGCCAATCGAAAACAGAAGCAAAGTGAAAATGGTCGTATTCAATATAGAAAGTGTTTACGAATGGAAATTACTTTTTGGATTTGCAATATTTCTTTTAATTCTGTATATATGGAAGAAAAAGAGCAGAAATAAACAGAGAGATAAAATACCACAACTCTGCAGTTGGGCTTATGTTTGGAATCTGATTTTCTGTCCAGTAAAAGCTCAAGATTTTCGAAAACTTTGCGGAACTTGTAAGTATGAACATTCATTTCAATGTTGTAATAAACTTTTTAACATTTAATTAATAAATTTGTTTTACAAATAACGATTAATAAAACGTAACGCTTTATTTATTCAATGACTTTTCTAGTTATAGTTCAAATATTGAGTTCTGTGTGTATTATATCCTTCAAAGAGAAAGTAGCGAAAATTTCTTGGGGTGGATATCATTATATTGCGTTATGTCATCCCGAATCGGCTCAGGTATAATTGCTTTATCACATATTGTTTATTTGTTTTTAAACGATAAATATCGATTGTTTAACACAGGAAGTACTGAAGAGTTACACCGTAATCAACAAAGATTGGATTTATAATATTCTTCATCCCTGGCTGGGGACGGGTCTTTTAACAAGGTAAACGATGATTGAATATGTCACATTAATCAAATTATTGATTTATTTGTTTACAATCGAAACAGTTCGAACGATAAGTGGAGAAATCGTAGAAAATTATTAACTCCGGCATTTCATTTTCGAATTCTCGAAGATTTTCAAGGAATTTTCAACGATCAGTCAAACATCTTAATTGAAAAGTTGAAGAAGAAAGAGGAAAACGAAGAATTTCTTATGGACGAATTGATTACGGTTTGCACTCTGGATGTTATCGGAGGTAAGAATTATTCAATGTTTACAGGTAAGACATTGTTGAAATTAAACACGCTATTTATGAATGTATATTAATACTCATAGATTCGGCAATGGGAGTTCATATTAACGCTCAAGACCGATCTGATACTGATTATGTTATTGCCATTAACGAGTAAGTTAAAGAGATTCTTAAAGAGAAATCTGAATAGAATATTTTCATTCACATTTATTTTTATCTTATTTCCTTAAATTACTAACTCAGGATTTTCTAAAGATTTCTTCAATTCCGCCTTAATCTGTATTTTTGTTTTTATTTCCATTGATGATTTCTTCTTTGAAATTGAATTAAGTGACAATGCATCAAAGATGTAGAGCGATTTTCTAATTTTAACTGACTGAAAGATTCTCATAGCATGGGAATAGAATTGTTCTCCAGATTACTCGAAGTTTCTGCTATTACATACATTGCACAGAACTATGTAAAAGACACTGCTAGAGTAAAATATGCCTCTAGTAGATTTGAGAAACAAATCGAACAGTATTTAATTACTCTTATAATTTAATCCTTGCAGCCTATTTCATTAGGAAATAGGCTGCAAAGATTGTGGATTCCTTTTTCCTCTTCGCGGGTCCATTTTGGCGTTTTTTTATTATGAAATAAAATACACTTCTTTATTAAAACAAAGCAGTTTTATAGATGTTATTCTCTGTTAGCGTAAATAACATTAATTTTATAGGAATGGAATCATTTTAGTCCTGTGACTTTTTTCTATGTCAGATTAACATACAAGCTCTGTCTCTCTCTGAGAGTCCTTTGGGGCCTCAAATTAATCGCATTATCACAACTTTTTCTACGGTATTTGTTTTTACGGATTAAAACTGTAACAAAATAACTTTTTTATATTATNATTAGAAAATAGTCTGCAAGGACTGTGGTTTCCTTTTTCCTTTTCGCGGGTCTCTTTTGGTTTTTTTTAATTATGAAATAAACATATAAACTGCTTCTTTATTAAAACAAAGCAGTTTTAAAGATGTTATTTTTTGTTAGTATAAATAACATTAATTTTATAGGAATGGAGTCATTTTAGTCCTGTGATTTTTATCCATGTCAGATTAACATATATGCTCTGTCTCTCTCTGAGAGTCCTGTTCGGGCCTCAAATTAATCGCATTATCACAACTTTTTCTACGGTATTTGTTTTTACAGATTAAAAATGTAACAAAATAACTTCCTTATATTATATCTTAAATATGCTTAATGTAATTACTAAAATAATTTTAAAAGTTTGGAAAATGTTTCCGTTACTTGAAATATTTATAATAAACCAAATTGTGTTTCATTATTCAGAATAACATCCTCAATTATCCAATGGTTCACAAAGCCTTGGTATTGGTTCAGTCCCATTTTCAACTTGAGTCCATTAGGAAGAAAATTTCACAAAGACATTGAAACCGTTCACGAATTCGACAGAAAGGCAAGTTTATTTGTTTTCATTGTTAAAACATTAACGTAATTAAAAATGGAAACAATTCAGGTAATCAGAAAAAAGAAACAGAAACTGATCGAAGAACTGGAAGACAATCAAACAATCGACAACTTTCAAGAAGAGAAAGAAGTTATAGGGGTGAAGAAGAGGCGAGCATTTCTTGATTTACTTCTTTATCATCATTTAACAGATGGAAGTCTCAGCGAAGAGGATATCAGAGAAGAAGTCGACACTTTCATGTTCGAAGTAAAAGGAGTTTTATTCACAAATTTAGAAATAAAAATGTTTATGTTTAAAGAATTTTGTTATTTTTAGGGACACGACACAACTGCTATGGGAATTAGTTGGTCTCTTTATCTGCTTGGATTGCATCACGATATACAAGAGAAAGTGTACCAGGAACTGCAGGAAATTTTTAGTGAAGACATGGATAAATCTATTACGACCGATGAGCTTAGAAGAATGAAGTATCTGGAATGCATTATCAAAGTAATCATTTAGTTTTTAACCCATAGTTGGGCATAGATGACACTTTGTTAGATAGTGTCTTTACAGCAAGGACGATCGAAAATTTCCGATGTTTTCTAGGCTTTTCTCTATTTCGAAGTATTCAGGAAAGCTTTTGTAATTAGACACTATTTATAGAATTGCAATTCAGAATTTTTATGTATAAACAATCCAGACTAGTAAATACTAGAGACTACCGGGTAGCTAAGTTTCCTCAGATTTTTCAGTAGTGCCCACATACAATATAGATAATATAAATTTTTATCACGTAAACTTATGCCACTTTTACTTATTTTTATACGTAAACAGTAGTTAGTAGATCTACTGCTTGAAAAATAGCAACCACAATTTTGAATATGCCCCTCTAATTCTTCTTGAAAATAGAACAAAAATTGATTTCAATTATCAGGTACTGAATAACATTTTAAAATATCGAAGTAATTTCAGGAAACACTTAGGATTTATCCTCCAGTTCCATTCATATTGAGAAAAAATTCTTCCGATATGAAAGTAGGTATGTATTGCATTTTGCAAGTTATTACATATTGGAACAATGGCATTAGTTGCATCGAAAACAATTAATTAAATTTTCTTTCAGGTAATTATATTTTGCCAGCAAATTCGTCTCTTGCAGTAAACATTTATGGAATTCATCATAATCCAACGGTGTTTGAAAATCCCGAAGTGTTCGATCCGGATCGATTTCTACCAGAAAACTGCGAGAAACGTCATCCCTTTGCATTTATACCATTCTCTGCCGGTCCACGCAATTGCATAGGTGAGTAATCGTGACACAAGACAAAGGCTTTTACATGTTTGTAACCATTTACTTTTGTTCAGGTCAAAGATTTGCCATGATGGAGATGAAGTCAGTTTTAGCGAATGTTATTCGACATTTTCGAGTGAAGTCATTGGACCATAGAGATAAGATTTTCGAATCTGGTGATGTCATTCTTCGTCCAAAATTCGGTATGAGAATGACCATTAAGAAACGGTGAAAATTTTCCTTTTCTTGTACATATTAAATCTATAATCTATCTATAAGTCTCCATCTTGAACAGAGTCTTAGAGTTTTACAAATTTTAAGTCCTGTTTCAGGTATGTAAACTTAAAAATAGAGTAATTATTCGTATTTGAAATTATCAAGTAAATACTAGGACCACATTTATGATTATTTACATTTATTCATGAAAATCGATCATATTATTTTTGTTTCGTGTTTATATTAGAGACACGTCAATACTGTATATAGTTTACATAGTTATTCTGTATAATTTTCATATGAAATTTTACACAAATAATTGTTTCTATTTATTTTACTTTTATGTATACAAGAAAGCTTTTGTATTCGTATAAACAACAGAAGTTCATATGTAAATAAATCATTATTCTATCGATTTGCTTTTTTTTTATTTATTGTAAAATGCAAATTTATATACAGTACTTGTACTGTACATTCAGTTCTTCGAATTCTAGATATTTGTTAAAGTTTTTTGTCTTGTTTGATTTGGTTTATTCGTTACGGCAACGCAACACATGGGAAAACTCTCGGGAGGACCTTTGTAAAAAACTGACCATAATTTAAGTTTTACTAACGTGAAGAAAACCCAAAACACGTTGGTTCCCACGAACTACCAGTGTTCAATGGTCTAATCCACTCGACCGCTGATGGACGTTTCATTTGTATATGTGGGTAGCCTGAGGTAGGACGAAGTCGTACCTCTTTTTGATAGGCAACAGTTTGGTGAGAACTGCCCACTTGTCAGTGGATGGCTTCTTTATGGTTGTTATATCCCGAAAAGTCGGGATTCTTTTGTCAGGTCGAGTTGAGTAGGTGAGAGGGGTCGTCGGTAAGACGTTGATACTCGATTTAAAGACACCAATTAACAAAAAAACAAGAATTTATTTAGACGATAACATAACTAACATAAATACATTGAGCTTATCTCGAGCAGACACGCGGAAGTGGAGGGAAACGCGCCGAGAGAGAGTTTACATTAATGGGTATCATACCTCTACGATGTGAGATCGGAGCGTCGGACGTTTTCTAACCGGATCGGACAAGTTGTCTTGAGGAACGGACGGCGGCGATGAGGATCGGCACGGGTTTCCGGCGATCATGAACAGTGATGACGGACCGTGTTCACGGACGGCGACGACGGACCGCTTATTCTCGTCGTCGCCCCTCTTTTATACCTTTCGTCATGTTACTGGGTTTCGCCAATCTGCCGATTTTCAGGATAAGTTCCTCATGAATCATTTTTCGGGTTCCTGAGAGATAGGAAACGGCTCCATGGGAAGGAAATGTGTATATCGTTTTTCGTAAAATTTCGAAAAATGAAGTTTTTTTTGTTTAACTTTAATAAAGATATTTAATTTAATTTGAGCTTCTTTATTTAATTTTATTATATTCGGCCCGACCCTCACATATAGAATCAATAAAAACAAACGATAACATTTTTTTAGAGAATTTTTTGTGCGAGTTTCTTTATTCTCATGTAAAACTTGAGCTACAGTCTTCAAACGCATGTAAAATCACACTATATGATCATTTGACCGATCTCATAGAGTCCTCTACCTAGCTTTTGATAAACTTTTGATAAAGCCAGTGTGTCATTCTTAGTGAAATTGATCTATAATTTTTCAGAATATACTTTTAAACTTACGAAATCAAGACTGGTGTCAAGTTGAATATTATACTATACTTTATATTGTAATAGTAACTCGTTTTATCTGAAAGTCTACATCTTTAACTGATAAGAGAACCTGATCTATCAAGTTTGTGACTACAACTTTTACGTAAACAAACACAAATTAGAAATTGGATAAAGCTCCATTCTATAACATTTCCAAGTTACGCAGTTTCGAATGCAAATCATACATTTAAATGTTAATTAAATTGTGGAAAATAATTTTAAATGTATTGTCATAACGTAAATATTCTAAATAAATATTTTTCACCAGAAACAATTGCTGGTGGGAATGTATAAAATGATATTAAAGTTATATAGAGTGTTAATTTCTTCAATGTTAATAAATAAAAATAGTGATATGCAATTTGTAAAAAAATATCTTCTTACTTTCTAACTGATTACTATAATTAATAATCTATTTAAACTTAATTCATTATCAAGATGACCTCAATTAAAGAATTCAGTATCGATTGTTATTGTTTCTATTATTTTATCAAAGTCATTAATCTTTTTGACCTAAGCTTAAAGATAAATTGCACGTTTCTGCTCTTTACCCTTCTCGAATGATAACGTTATCACAAAATATAATTATAACAAAACAAACACTCTGTCCCACCAGTTTTACGCTCAGATATCAGTTAAATATCCTTCAAGCGTTGAAAGTGAAATTAAGTTTTTTTATTTTGTTTTTTTTACTATTTATTTATATTAAACTTAAACAGAAAAATTTTCGCTTTTGTTCTTGAATTAAATCAGAATTTTTTTCTCTTTTCTAAAGTTTTCCTTCGTAGACCCGATCACGTTGGTTTGGTTCTGTTTGATGGGACACTGCAAAATGACACATGGGCAATCTGGCAAGAGGGCTTCTTTCCGGGAAGACTTTCTACGAGTATCTTAGCTTTTATTTACGTGTAGACACGAAGAAAATTCAAAAAACTTTAAGTGACCAGCGTATTTTTCAGACTCGAACTCATGCCCAACTCGATGTAGTGTTCGGTGGTTTTATTTACGCGACAATCAGTGGGCACATCGAAATGTAAATGTAAATTAGTGTTTCTCAACCTCTAACGAATCGTCGTCCCCTTCAATAAAACCGTTAAATAGTATCGCCCCTTTCACTTCAAAATTCCGATGCCGAGGGCCAAGGCTAACGCCAAATTCGCACTGCATTGAATAGACTATTGACAAATATAATGTTATTTGTTTAATCATTGTACGATATAATGAAAAATATCTAATTATTCTTAATATAATGTTTTACTATATCGCCCAGAAAATTGTTTTTCGCCCCCCATAAAATATAAATTGTTACAAACCACCCCTCAGCATGGAAAAACTCCCACATGGGGACGATATCGCCCCCCGTTGAAAAACACTGATGTAAATTAACGATGATTTATGTTTATAGTTTTCACATTTACGGATTTTTCTCTACTTTATAGCGCTCTCTGGCAACGATTAAATATTATTATATATACAAAATTATTTCTATATTTTTCTACGGTGTACAGAGCTAGAAATCTGTATAGGTAACACTTTGTGACAAAAATAAATCTGCCCGGAGATTTTTAAAAATTGCTAAAGTAAAAACGTGATGACTCCCAAATAAAATCTTAGTCTAGAGGTTGTAAAAGGCGTGCAGAAATTCTGATATCAATTTAGCTTTATATCTAAAGGGCGGAGTAAGTGGTAAGCGAACTATGCGGCACGTAGGGTCCCGAGGTCTTTAAAATGCTACTAAAAAAGGGGATTGTGAAAACGCAGAAAGTAGAAATAGTCCAGAAAACCGCTTCGATATAGACATGGAAATAATAAATGATATAGCTTTAAGGCCAACAATATTAACAGATGCTGTTATTAATCATATTCTTAAAACAAACCAAAGAGTATTGGAAATATAGAAAATTTGAAATCAGTGCATAAAGACAGAGATGAAATGCATTACAAAGATCTTTCCTATGATTATTTTTACAGAAAGAAATTAAATGAAATTATGGAAAAAAGAAGTTGGCTGATATTTTCAGAAAGAAGCAAAGGTGTTTATTGTGTAATGTAGCCGACCCGGTGGTGATAGGGGAGTTGAAAATTCACTCCTCGGCACTAGTGTAAGGTTGCCGTCTTTTAGGTAGGATCAGTTAATCCCGCGTCAGGATGAACCTAAGGGAAGTTTTCATGTGAGCTGTGGCAGAGGAGGCAAATGATGACAAGTGTTTTCCAAATGAAAGCCGTTTATTTTGTAACAGTTATGCTTACATCGAATAATTGACAGTCCCACTTCTTTATGGTCCTTCGGAGAGGTGGAGAACTTCGAACTAGGTCGTAGCCCCGGAATAGATGAGATGGGATCGCTGGGCGAAGCGCACGATCGGTGAGATGATGCTGCGGCGTTCTAGGTGATTGCACAACACAACTTAATAGTTACGTCACGACTTTTAGCTTAATCCAGAAGAGATTGTCCTTCGACCTTAAATTTCCGATTTTTATAGGTTTTCTCCCGCTATCCGTATTTTCGAACGTCCCCTCGTCCCATTCCACGCTTTCTGATTGGTCTCTCATTTGGTTTCACGTAAAAACCGAGCTAACTAGGTCACAGGAAAAGTTCGATTTGAGGTGTCTATTGACACGTTTTTGTCGACTATGGTCGGAGATTGTTGATAAAACCATAAGACTCGCGCTCATAGTATAGCCCGTTCTTTGTGAATTCTGTCCAATTATACACGATTGTTTTTATATCCTTCGAAACTTTCTCCTTTTTCGAAATTGTTTTATTAGATTGACTATTTATGAGCGCTTGAGTCAGAGTTCTAAGTGTTTATGAGCACTTGTGTCAGAGTTTTACCTTTCGGTTTGCCATTGACAGATCGTTTAGCACGTATTGGAGTCATCTCGGGACTCATTGCTTACATTTTGTGCGACGTTGTTTAGATCAAAGATTTTTTATCTCTCTCATATTTAGTCTATCGTTATAATTTAAGCATAAGAATTCCACGATTTTACGCGATTTCGGACCTCGTCTGAGACCTCATAACTGCTACCGTTGCAAACAATTTTCAACATCAAAGTCTAAATTAATAACTGGTTTATTGAGTAGCGACAAAGTAGCGACTACTTTGTCAAAATATCTACGACAGAATCAGCGACTTCATTTTAAAATATAGCGACATTTATTTACGAACGTTTCACAGCACTGCTGCTCACCAACGTGATCATTCGAATGAATGGCAGAACTGACTGATATTTTCAACTCGCCTATGTTAACTTGCCTAATTTAGGTTAGTGTAGTGATATTGGAACTTGTCATCCTCCCTCAACTGTCGGTTTTGTCGGTCCAGCTGCAAGCGATTTGCATGCGGTCGTAAAGGGTGATAAGAAAATGTATACAACAAAATATCGTGTAACGCTTCCAATGACTCCAACCAGAAACGGTTCTGGGCTGTTAGCAGCCTGCGTGCTAGATATTTGCCCCAATATGTGAATCACGAGTAGATTTATAACTTAACCCAACCAATAGGAGTTTACTAGTATGTTTTTATTAATAGTTCTGTATTGTTGACAGGA